GAAACCCTGTACAGGGTCGCTATGGGTCAGAACCGACTCGACGGCACTTAACAACAACAACAACAGAACAAGATAGGAAGATGCCCACGTAGTGAAACTGGCGTGTGTGGGCTGTTATGATGTCAGTCCACTACATGCAAACATGGATCGCATCTCACCCGTTAAACATGCTGATAGGTAATTGGAAACGTATTTTCGTCAAGTGACAGCTTAGTTAAATGCCCTTTTAGGGCACAATCTTTTGAAACATGGTGTTGTAGGAGAAAATGTAATCCACGTGGCCCCTAGGGGTAAACAGAAGGAACTAGTGGGCTGGCCACTGAGCCTCGCTCCCAGTTCTGCCCCAAGAGACCCTGGGAGAGAGGAGCTGTTGGTAGTTTCCCCACTGGATGGTCCTTGATGGTCTTCCAGGGTTCCCATTTTACTTAACACGCAGCTACACCAGACTCTGTCTTACACCAGACTTACACCAGACAGCATCCTTCTATTGCGAATGGGCTCTGTGGTGGACCCCATTGTTGTCACACTAGAACCTTCTAGGAGGAGACAGCCAGGAACGTGGGTGACGTACCTCTCATCCCTCTCATGTAGTTTAATAACTTTTAAGTTCCAAAAATGCAAACAATGAGCAATAATATTTCTCATCACTGTCTTCTTTCTGTCTGACACATTGCAGGGCTTTTACTGCACATTATTTCACTTAATTTTTTCTTTTTCTTTACTGTGCTAAAATGTATATAGCATAAAATGTGCCATCTCACCATTTTTAAGTGCGTAAGTCAGTGATATTCATGACATTTACCAGGTTGTGCAACATCACCATTATCTGCTTCTAAGACCCTTTCATCACCCCAAGAGACGCTCAGTGATTCTCCCACCTGCCCTCCGCTCAGCCCATTATTTCATTGCCTCTTCTAGCTCTGTGTTCTAGATCAGTCCAGTGAGCTGACCTCCCTGACTCAGGGACTGCAGATCAGTCTGGACTTACCCGTGTCCCCTGGCCTCCATCCAGAGCTCTTTCTGATCCTCCAGCGAAGCTCTAGCAACTTGAGGCCAATGAAAACAGCAGTTGTGCCCTTTTGCTGTTCAGTGCCCTGGTATGAAATAATTTACCAAAAGCAGCCCTCGGAAATGACAGCACTCATTACTGATAACTTTGACCCTCTTGAGCTAGAAGCAACCACATGCTTTCTCCCTGGGTCATTGTCTTTAGGCACCAAGTAGACAGCTTTAGCAGGCAGAAATTTATTGACGAGGCTAGAAGTCAGAAATCAGGGCACCGGCTCAAGGGGACGACTTTCTGTCTCTGGACCCTGGAGGAAGGTCCTTGTATCTAGTTTTTGTTCCTGAGCAGTCCTCTTGCGGCCTCGATCTTCCACCATCGCTGCTTCCTTGTCACTTGTTTAATCTCTTTTTTATCTCAAAGGACATTGGTTTAAGACACACCCTAGACTTTAATTATTCCATTAACTATACAGGCAGCCCATTCCCAGGCATAGAGGTCAGGATTTATAACATGTTTTGGGGGGACACAATTCAATCTCTAACAGATGTGAAAAAGTTGTACTCCATGGTACACCTGGCCCTTAGGTCTGTGAAATGAGCTAATGGTGAAGTGGTCTCACACCTTCACTCTTTGAGGCTTAGCCTGTGAGGTCGGTGTAGATTTGAAAACATGATGGTGGTAGTGATGTTGGGTGACATCCCAATTCTGAAACATAACAAACTCTATATGACACAACAGAACTGCCCCCATAGGTTTTCCCATGGTCAGGGTTCAAATTCACCGGCCACTCCTCAGAAACCTTATACAGGGTCACTATGGGTCAGAACCAACTCCACGGCACAGAACAACAAACAACAATGTTTATGGGAGCAGATTGCTAGATCTTTCTCCCACAGAGCCACTGGGTGAGTTAGAACCACCAACCTTTTGGTTAGTAACCAAGTGCTTAACTATTGAACCATCAGGGCTCCTCCCTTGATGATTGTTGTTATTTTGTTGTTGTTAAGGTGCTGTCTAGTCTGTTCCGATTCATAGTGACCCTGTCTAGGGTTTCTGAGGAGGACCTGGTAAGCTTGGGCGGCTAACCTTGCAGTCCAGTGCATTTACCCACAGCAGCACGCCAGGCCTTCCCCTTGATGATGAGATGGGGCGTTTATTTTTCTGCACATCCTCGTCAGGCCGTGTCATAAATTATAAATGAGAATTCAGAGTGGTTGTTACTAGAAATGGCACGTCTTGTGCTGAGGGAGTATCAGATTGTCCAGAGCCCTACAGGCAGCTGTTGCTTACCTGGGACTAAAGTAACACACCTGTGTGGAGAGTGGGCCATCTCAGCCCATGTCAGAAGCCCGCTTTCCTACTGCCAGGCCCGGCCTCAGGGAAGAACGGGTATACAGACAGTGGGTCGTGAGACCCTTTGGCAGGCAGGAAACAATTCTCTGTGAGCATGGTGACTCAAAACGAATCCTTATCCAGCTGCTAGGACGTGAGCTGAGATTCCAGGAAGAATGGGTCGCTCAGGCAAGCTGGTAACCAGAGCTGGGCACTGGCCTAGGGACAAAAGGTCAAGGAAATCCACTTGTGGCCCTCAGCTTGTTTGGTGCATTCTTGGCACTGGATAATTTCTATAAAATAAAATAAATAGTTGGAACTTGGGATTCCTTCTTGCCTTAACTGTCATAATGATGACTGGAAGACTGGCATCTTGTCCTCTCCACTCGGTCTAGGATACTCAGACGCACGGAGACCACATTGTGTCTGAGTAGAACTGTGCCCCGTAGGGTGCTCACTGACTGATCTCCAGGACTTCCTTTTGAGGCACCTCTGGGTGACTCTTTAGTTCAGAACATGTTAACCATTTGCACCCCCCAGGGACTCCTAGTTTAGGGTAGACCAAGAAAGTGACCATCCTGGGGTCCTACTTGTGAAAAGTGATAGATCTGGAGATGACTCTGGAAATTGAGGTGGCCATCGCTGCCCCTGCCTGCTTCTCATTTCTGAGAAGAGGAGACTGAGTTCATAAACGGACCCTCATTTGACCTCCAGCCCCATGGTGGGTGGTTTGTGCTCATCTTTGTTCTGAGTGATGCACAGCCATGGTGTTGTCTTCAGGAAGCTCAGTGTCTTCATCTTTATTCCTGTGAGCGGGCCGTGCCTGCAAGAAGCATGCGTATGCTTCCCAGGGATAATCAGGCGGCCCCTAGAAATGTGTCCACATGCACACACTTAGCAGGTTTTGTGAAAGTTTTCTGGAAAACATCAAACTCAAGTTAAAGAACCAGGCTTTAAATTATGCCTTCAGTGGTCTGGAGAGAGCGAGAGGCTGATAACCAAAGCTGCTCTTTTTGTTTTATATTTATATCAGGTTTCATGGATTGCCGCCAACAGCCCGGTACAGTGGCTTGTGAGCAGGTCACATGTCGCCTCTTAAGAACCATCTGACAGTAGTTACTGCGTGTGGCTTTTGCAAGGACAGAGTTCATTTCGGTCTTGTTCACCAAGCTGGTCGTGTCCGATGTTCCCAGTGCAGTACCAGACATATAGTGGGCTCCCAGAAACCACTTACTCCTCGAGGGAATTCATCTGTGTGGCCAGCCTGGGTTTCCACAGGGAACCTTGGTATCTAAGGCAGGTTGCAGGATTTCTAGTCTCCAGCAAGAGCCTCTGGAATTCTCTTGGCAGCCTAGAGTCTCCACTTGGTTTGCAATGGGTCATTTTTCCATCATTGGGCTTTTTAATGGTCTTTGCATCTAGCAATCAGTGGCATCCAGTCCTGTGGGCGCTGGTAAGAGTTTGGAAACGTTCCAGGTAACTTGTGAAGCATATACAAGCTGCACTGTCCATTCTGGCTTCAGAGTTCAGGCTGAATTCTCAGTGAGGGACCACTGTGGGCTCCCAGATGTCACTGGGGACATGGGTGGACTCTACATGTTGCCTAACACTCAGAATGTATGCACGCTGCACTCTGCCAGCACTTAAACGCGTCCACAAGCCTCTGTCTACTTGAGCCTTTTCATTTCCTTGGGACTCTGCCAAAGGCAGAAGTCTCTTTGCAGCACGAGGTTTACTGATAGTGTGAAATAGCTGGGCTGAGTCTCCCCCTTGGCCTGCATCAGTCATCCGGACCCTCCCTTCCTGATCCAGAGCGCCCCCTGATTGCTGTGGCACTAAACTCATCTTTTGTTTCTTTGCAGAGTTGGATTATAGAAACTCCTATGAAATCGAATATATGGAGAAACTCGGCACCTCCTTACCTGTAAGTTCTTCTTCCTCAAACCAGTCAGGGGACTTGCTGCCCGTCCCTGCCCTTTGCGCGAAGCCTCCTCACTGTGCAAAGCATCCTTGGGAACTCAGACTCCACCTCAAGGGCTTTGTGAACCAGAGCTTCCAGAGTGCACGGGAGGGTGAATGGGGCTTCCTGACTTCCTTACACTGAGAGAGAGAGCAACGCCAGTCAGGGGAAAAAAGAGAGTTTGGGGCTTTCTAAAAAGAACTTTTTATTTTATTTCCTTTATTGTGCCTTGGGTGAAAATTTACAGAGCACGTTCAACAATTTGGACACATTTTGTTGTGTGATGTTGGTTGCGATCCCCAATGCTCTTCTCACTTCCTCCCTGGGTCCCCCATTTGCATTGCCCTTCTTTCCTGCCCCTTCCTGCCTTCTGGGCTTTGCTTTTGAGTAAAGGTTGCCCTTTTGATCTCCTGTGGCTGATTACTCTGAGGATGTTACGTATTTTATAGGCCCATTTTTCGGCTACAAGGTGATCCCTGGCTGGGTTCTCTTCCAGGCTTGAAGGGTCCGGATTTCATCAGTCTCTTTTTCAGACCAGTAAGTCTGGTCTTTTTTCATTTCTCCCATTCTGTTCAAGACCTTCTTGGTGGTTTTAAAAGATACAACACTAGTTGTTTTCTGCATACAGATGAAGCGTATCTCTTTGGGAGTGAGCCTTTCTCTTCTTATCCATTTTTAGTGGTCATGATAGCAGCTGTCTGTGCGGGGGGGTCCTTCTTCTCAAATGGGCCTCTTGCGTTGCCGGCAGAGACCTGGGGTGCCCGGGAGCCTTACTGGGGATGCTTTGGTCTTTATCTTTGCTTGCATCATTTGTCAATGCTGCGCTGCTGCTTTTACACCACAGCTTGCTGTGGCGAGTCAGACTAAAGGTGGGACAGGGATTTGTATCCATAAACACACCTGATGTGTGTACCACCTCGGCTCTGAGCTGCCTGAGCACAGGACTTATAGAGACCACTTTACTGAGTCTAGCACCCACCCTACAGTCTGACCTCATTCATGTAACTCAGGAGAAACCGTGTCCAGAAGATCCATAGTCACACATCCAGGAGGCTTGGGGGATGCATTTCCACCCATAACATGTGATTTGGGTCCCTCCAGCACGATGGCGATGACGACACCCTGAAGAAGCAGGCTTTGTACCTGATGTTTGATGCGTCTCAGGAGAGTCCCGTCAAATCTCCTCCAGTCCGGATGTCAGATTCACCGACGCCGTGTTCAGGGTATGAGAGAATCCCGAGCCAGAGCCGAGGCCCCAGAGCCTCTGGTCTCCTTGCCCTTCTTGTTCCAGCAGCCCACCTTTCCCTGGATACCCACCCTCACCAAGTGTATAGATAGAGTGGCTTTGTTCGTGGCTGCCCTTTGGACTGTGTTTTGTCAGTTCTCCATCAGGAAGGCGACAGGACAAAACACTGGGAACCCGAATCTCGCTTTCCTCCCCTAGCGAGGGCGTGATCAGACATATGTGAATTCACTTCCCTGTGTTGCCATTTTGTCACATGTAAGATGAGGGTACCAGTCACCAAGTCCTAGGGATTTGGTGAAGGTGGATAATGAGATCAGCAGTTGCCCAGAGCGACTCTCAGATGCCTGTCTCACTAAGCATCCAGGAGGAGGAAACTGAGGTGTTTCCTGGACAACACTGAGCCTGGCACCCACACAGTGGTGGACACTGATTATTAAGAGTGATGTCCACACCCTCCTTCAGCAAAGTCCAGGCTCCAAGCTGCGGGTTGCCTCCTAGGTACGGATGGACAGCGCTCCAAGAATTTGGACTTTCGTGGCTTCTTCTACCTGTTCCTTTTAGTGCACAGGAATGAAAGCTTTTGTTTTCACTCCTGGAACTGATTGAGGACCATGAAGGCCAGCATCTGCCCTGGGTGGTGCAAATGACGATGTTGTAGCCACAGTCAGGGTGTCATTAGGAATCACGAGAAGTGCTTCATGGGTAGCATCACATTCTGTCTTACAGAAAAGGAAACCGAGGCACAGAACCCAGCCACTTCCTCAGGGTATACAGCCAACAACTGGCTGCTTGGCTCCCGGGCCCGTGCCCCTTAGCCCGTGGTCTCTGTTTCCCTTAGCCTGTGGCATCTGCACCTTCTATTGTCAGCAAGCTCTGGGATGGGAAGGACCACTGCCACCTCACACTAAGAAGTCTAGAGGCCCCTTAGCCACTCAAAATCTTCTCCAGTGCCCTCTGGGTGCACAGCCCTGGATCAGGAGCTCTTGGGAGGTTCATCCCAGCTCATTTCAATGGGATTTCCAACACACTGACTCTAAAAGTGCTCTTTGTTCCCTAGGTCAAGCTTTGAGGAGACCGAAGCCCTTGTGAATGCTGGGGCCAAAATCCAGCACCCCATCCCACGAGGGCTGGGCCCCAACCAAGAGCCTCACTCTCAGGTGCCGGAGAAGTCTGCCTCAAAAGATCTGGAGACCATTGCCTTGGGGACCACTTCAGACCCGATTGAAATTGTAAGTAGGGGGCAAGGGGATGAGCTTGGGCCAGCTGGACCCCATCCCCAAGAGAGTGACACTGTCCTGGCCTACCCTATCCCCCACACTACAGAAGCCAGCCTAGGAGCCCCCAACCCTCAATGCATCTTTGCAGTTGTCACCAGTCTTCTGGGGGTACTTTCTTGGCCTCTCCACTTGCAGCCCCTTTGCTTGATTCCTGCCCGGGAGCAGTTGTTAGTCTGTACCCTGCTCCTGCCTCTGCGTTGGCAGCAGGCTGTGCGTGGCAGAGAATGACAGGCAGTGGACACCTCCTTTTGGGAAAAGTTGATTTTCTTGGGCCTCAACTATCAGCAACCTCTTATGTAGATAGATAGATAATGTATTTTACGCAAATAATATGCACGTTACAACACGTAGTACCTCCCTGGTACTTTCGTTTCCTATGCACGCTAAGCGTGTTGTATGTATGTGCGTGTTATTTAAGTGAGTGCCATCGAGTTGACTTTCCTTCATGGCGACCTTGTGTACAACAGGATGAAATGTTACCCAATGTCATCGTCACAATTGTCACCTGTTCAAGCCAGTGCATGTCACTAAGGGACTCCATTGCCCTGGCTGGTTCGTAAGTGTAGACTAGGATTTATCCTTCTAGGTTCCCAACCCCAATAGGTCCTGCAGAACGGACTCTGACAGAGCTGACACACACCATTGTATTTGTCCACCTGCAGACCTGTGTGTTAGAGGAGGGTTTAAGTCTGTGGTCTCCCTATAGACTATGAGACACTTTTGAAAATGGACCATTCTTCTAGGTGACTGATTTTTGTTCATCTTATCTTCCTCCTCGCAATTCTCAACAGGGTTTGAAGCTGTTGGTTTTTAGTGCATTGGTTTTGTTCTTCCGTAATAACTGACCATTCACCTTGTGGTTACAGTAAGGACATCTGGTAGCATAGTGCTTACAAGTCGGGCTGCTAACCCCAAGGTCAACAGTTCGAAACTAGCAGCTGTTCCGCAAGAGAAAGACAAAACTTTCTGCCCCCATAAAGATTTACAGCCTCGAAAACCCTCTATAGGATCGCTATGAGTGGGAGCTGACTCCATAGCACAACCCCACCACCATCCAATATTTACAGAACACTTATATGTCTCTGGTAATACGTTGAATGCTGGAAAAGTAATCATGAACAGATTATTTTTCTAACTATGAAGCAAACAATCTCTCAAATAAACATTGTGAAGAACTTGAAAGCAGCTGCCACAAAGCCAGCTTCTAATTTTGAAGTCTTTCTGATCTACCTGGAGACAATTTTTGTACTCTAAGTCATCTTTCCGTTATTATTTTTTATATTAATAACCTTTACCAAAACCAAACCTCACTGATTTTTTATGTATATACTTGGAGATATTTTCTTGCTAGATTAGGTTTGGAATATCCATCAACTAGTTTGCTTTCCTGGAATCCTGGTGTGGCACTGTAGGATAAGCACCAGACTGTTAACCGCAAGGTCAGTGGTTCAAACCTACCAGTCATTACTCGGAAATCCTATACAGGGTTGCTATGAGTTGGAACTGACTTGACGACACTTTACACAACAGCTTGCTTTTCCCTTGCCCCTGAGATCTTCAAATAAATAAGCCTTTCTCCCAATGATTGGTTGTTGGTTATGGTTTGAGTGTGGGAGGGGAGGGCACCAAGGGCTGTGCTTTGGGGGAGGGGATTTGGGGTTGTCCATCTCAAGGTCCCATTGTCAGCCTGTGAGGAGATCATGGCGCCTTAAGACAGAAAGGTCCAGCCAATCCATGCACAGTCCTTGCCTGGAATCTTTATCACTCTTTGCTCTCCTCTATTCTCCTCCGTGTGCTCTTCTCTGCCGGTCTTCAGACAGCTCCGGAGGGCTCCTTTGTCTCTGCAGACGCCCTCCTCAGCACGCTGGCCCACCCAGCCTCTCTCTGTGGCGCACTTGACTACCTGGAACCCGACTTAGCAGAAAAGAACCCCCCAGTATTTGCTCAGAAACTTCAGGTTGGTAGACCATACATGACCTTTCGGGAGTTTGTCAAAAACCTCAGTAGAAAGTGAACCTCCATGCTCCAAGAGCAAGGAGGCAGGATTCAATGAGGAATGTCTAGTTCCAAGTGAAATATCTTCCTCTCAAAGAACCACGTGTGACGATCTTTATCCAAGACGCCAACGGTCTAAAAATTAGGCCCCAATAGTCATTTTTCAGATGTCTTGCCTAGTCCCTGCAGCCTCGTCTGTGACCTGTTCTCCAAACCGAAAGCCTCAGATCACCCCTGAGCTGAGCTCTTTAGAGCTACCGGGCCATCTCAGATTCCCATTGAGACCACATCTGGACTTGGTCTCACATCTGGCCCCCAAACGATGATCTGATACCGTGCTTCAAATTTGACAATTTAATTGGAGATCCTCTCAACTAGAGCATTTTGAGCAGACCCAGAGAGATGGTTAGCAGTCATTTGAGAGTTGCAGATCCAACTGTGCAGAGTGTTGGCCAACTTTACATTAAAAATACAGAAATCAAAGCACACAGCGTTGTTGTATGCTTAATCCTATTCTAAAACTCACTTCCTACTTGACTGCATAATGCAGCACAACAGACGTTTGGAAAGATGATTAAAAAAGGAAAAAAATAAATTAAATACTGATTTCATGATCTGCTGAGGTGTTAATTGTGAAAGAATCCTGGGGGTGTGTTCCTGCCCCCCACCCCCACCCTTGAACCCCTGTCATAACGCATTTCATGGCGCATTCATTCCTGGATGTGGGAGCATTTACACCCTGTCTTGTTGCATTTCCCCATGGTCTGCTCATCCCCCACCTTGGGCAGGAGGAGTTAGAATTTGCCATCATGAGGATAGAAGCCCTGAAACTCGCCAGGCAGATTGCTCTGGCGTCTCGCAGCCGCCAGGACACAAAGGTACCAGTGTGCTGCCTGCACCCGCTCTGGAGAATGCCGTGTGTGCCACCATAGTCCCCAACAGTGCTTCGTTAACCGTCGGTTGGGCAGGCAACTCCGGGGTCTGATCGATTGGAATTTTCAAAAGGCTAAAGACATAACTCTTGCAGAAATGCAGATGAGCATGTGGCTGAGACTTATTTGACTCATTCATGAGGGAACTAGCTGCTGGCATGGAGGATATAAGAAATGGGGGGATCTAACCAGTAGGGTGACGAAGGCTAGGATACAATCGCACTATTGGATAGGGTACTAGCTGCGGGGTAGAAAGAGACCGTTGGTTGCACAAGCCATTAAAAGCTCTTGCCTACTGACTGAAAGGTGGGTGGTTCAAATCCATCCAGAGGTCACTTGGACAAAAGGTCACTGAAACCTACAGGACACAGTTCTACTTGACACTTATTATGGGTTGCCAGGCATTGTAATCGACTCGGCGAACACGGATTTGGTTTTGGTTTGGAAGGATGGTAATGTGGACCAAATGGAGAATACGAGAAAACTCCTGTATCACATCAGTGTCGTAAAGAAAGCTACAATACTAAGATGGCCAGGTTAGATAGGAGATGTTTGACTGAGGGTTCTCAGCTCCCACAGTCTAGCTCTATGCCCCACGCAGGTGTGACTCGTTGAGTTTCCACAGCCTGAATCCCCCTTGTGTTGGGTGAGAACCCAGTCACACTGACAGTACTAGTGATGATTGGGGGAGGTAGCATGGCACAATAAAAAGCAAGAAGGTGGGCCCTGCAGTTAGACCAGGGCTCGATCCCAAGTTGTGCTCTGCAACTTTGAACAAGTTATTGACCCTCTCTGAACCTGTTTTCCACCCACAAGGAAAAGCTCTACCAACCCCATTGCCACTGAGTCCATTTCGACTCCTCGTCACCAGACAGAACAGGCCAGAGCAGTCCCGTGGGTTTCCAAGGCCACGGTCGTTTTGGAAGTCGTCGGCCACATTTCTTCTCCTGCAGTATGGGGTGGGTACAAGCCACCCACATTTCAGTTAGCAGCTAAGTGCTTAGCCACTGTGTCCCCAGGGCTCCTCCAGCTGTTAGGTGAGGCCAGTGTGTTAAGGGTGCATTAAGGGCAGCACAGGGCCTAGCACATAGTAGGAACACAGTAGAAGAAAGCAGCAGTTGTCAGCTAACATTTCACTTTTGCCTGTTACCTGATCAGAGACTCCCAGCATCTCTTTGCAGTAGACAGACCTGATTCCCATTTTACAGATGGAAAAACTGAGTCACACGTAACCAGCCCAAGATCTGGCTGGTCTCCAGCTGATGGGAGCCCTGCCCTGTCACACTCCACCTCACTCCTTGGCACAGAAGCGGCAGATCTGTTGCCTGCGGGCTCTGCCCACAGGGGCCCCCACATGTGTTTTGCCTGGGCAGTAGCTACTGCAGGGGAACCCCTTCCAGACAGATCTCCCAGTGGCTTGTGGGAGTCCATGCTGGGGACCATGGGACCCAGATAGGGACCAGAATGTAGACACACAACTGTGATGTCCTTGTTGCCAACCCATAGACTTGCTTCAGTCACCTGGCTTTCTCCGAGTGTGTAATGTCAATGAGGGATTCATTTTAGAATGCTCTAAGCAATGAGAAGTTTTATTTCCCAGTAGATCTGGTTCTTGATATCCTTGGGGAGCGGCTTAGAGACAGAATAAATGGGCTAAAGTTTGGTCATTAGAAATATGGTGTCTTTCTGGCCAAGAGACGTTTGGACAGAATTGTATGTGTTTCAATATTCTGATTTCTGAGTATAGAGTGTCCCCAACTCTGTCCTCTGGGTACATGCCAGCGATTGTGGTCAGCAAATATCGATTGTGAACTGACTCCCTGTCGGTTACATTTTGTTCTTGGACTCTATATCCTGATTCTGTTTCACAAATAGTGTCACACGAATCCATCTAGCCCAAGCTGTCTCCTGGTGAACCTCAGAAGTGCCCGTGGAAAGCACTGTTCTATAGGTGTATAGGTAGCGTGCATTAGAGTATAAAGAAGGCACCGTTTTCTCTACCATCGTAACACAAACCACTTTTTATTAGTCTATCAGTGACTTTGCTCATAGAAAACACGTGTGTTTTCCTGCATCTGAGCAGCCCCAGGATGATGCGTTTGCACGAACCCAGTTCGGTTCCTGTAGGTTTCTGTTTCTCTAGATGCTTGTTTGCATCTCACAGTATTGGGAACATCTTCTGGTATACAGAAAGAGAAAACAGCAGCTGGGCCTTCAGTTTGCTCTTTTACAGCCCATAAATTTCAGCTGACGGTGACATAGCCTAGTCTTTTTGGCAGCGTGGTCTGCAACTTGCTAATGTAAAAACGAAATCACTTGCAACAGAAAATCTGATTGAGGAGATGAACTTGCATGGAATATGGTGGTTATATGATTGCTTCTGAGAGCCACTCCCCTTGCATTTCCCTTTAGATGATGGAGTGAGAGCCTT